TGATATGTCACTCATATAATAATATATACCACCTAGTTTTAATATTCAAAATATACAGGTTAATCTATTGAGAATAGGGAGGGGAGGGGGCACGGTGGCTCGCTGGGTTCGATCCCAGAATTGACCGAGAAAGTTCATCGATATTTCTCGTTCTTGTTTCCCCGTAATCGGTGATGCACACTGATCAGCAATGAATATTCGCTCGGTCGCTACAATCTCTGATAGGGATGAGCTCGGTGCAGCTTAATGAGAGAGAGAGAAATGGGGTTTAACGCCCACTCGACACAAACTAGGTCATTTCGGGACTAACATATGGTTCAATTTTATTTCCATAATTCGCTTGGGCGTAGGGATCTATAGCAGTGGGAGGAAACCGGGTGACCCGGAGAAAGCCCACGAGGTTGGACAGGCGACTCTACTCCTTGTCACGTACAACCGGGGAATCGAAACCTCGCCAGTTGACTCAATGACAGACTTTATGATACAGTGCGCCATCCAACCCCCCGCGGCTTAATGAGCCCCCAATAAATTACGTCATATGTTGAAAGCAGTCATCTTTTACAGAGTTATTAGAAGACTTTCGTAATATTCTTTGAAACATATTGACAGTACGGATGACCTGTCAAGTAAATGCTCCTAGACATTCGAATTGGACCAAACATTTCCCGGTCCCGTGTATACTAGTCGCAGCAGTTAAGTTATCCCTTGGCGGTTGAAATCGAGGTAAGAGTAGCGTTGTTGCCCTGGCAACATGTCTCTCACAGATGCTCGTATTCATTAGCCCGACCAGCGCCGAAAAGTAAGACGCTAAATCATTTCTGTTGCTATATTAACTAGTTTTGTTTAGTACCCCTGTTTGACATTATTGAAAATATAGCTGTTTTATTAAATGATTATCCCTTGACATTATTTTCATCACGTGCATTTTGCATACCGATAGTTCATTGGCCAATCACGCTATTTTACCGAGATTTCGCCTAATAGTTTGGATGCAGCTATGGCGGGTGTGGCGGACACATGTTACCACTGTTTGTCGTGTATTTTGTACACGGTGAACAGTCCATATGCTGATTACACTATTTTTCCTTATTACACTATTTTGCCTATACCGTTTTTTTTGGGTTTTTTTTAGGACTTCGAATTTTGTCTAATGGTTTGGATTGTTCGTACTTGGTTTTATTTTATTTCCCACTGTTAAGGCATTACGTTTTAAGACGACAAGATGGCGTTATTGCCAAGACCCACTAATTCTTCAGTCGTTAAGTTAGTTAAAAAATTACCACTTTTGTACGCTATATTATGTCAGGTTTCGATGAATGTGTGGTGTCGTTCGCGAGGTAAAAATTCTTACTATTTCTGAAGTCATGATGCAACTAAACTTTTCGTTGTCGTTTTGACAAGTTCATATAGAAGTTTTATCTATGATTAGAAAAAATTGTCAAATTCTTTTCCTTTCGGTTTGTCTGGAGGTCGGGTGTTCGATCCCTGCATTGACCGAGAAAGTCAATCGGGATTTTCCGACGTGGTTTCCCCTTGTCAGTGGTGCAGGGTCTGACAAGGACAGCTCTCTATAGTCGTTCGGATGAGACGAAAAAAACGAGGTTCCGTGTATACATTAGTGTGCACGTAATCCGATATAAGAGTAGGCCATAGTGCCTCTGCCCGGGCATAATTTCCCTAATAGCACACTATATGACGTATGCCCGTATTCATTAACCCAGTCGGGGCAGCAGAACAGTAGGACGTTAATCCCCATTTCATTTCATTTTCATTTTGTCTTTCTAGGAAACAATTCTCCAGTTGAACAATTTTGTGTTTCCATAGAAACAAATTTGAGTTGTTGATTTGGGAATTCTCCGCATTGCGTGCATAAAGTGCCTTAAGTAAGAAATTGTCTGTCATAGATCAAAACCAACTATGACGTAACACATGACGTATAAATTTAAATGCTTTCTTTGACACACCGCACAAAGGTTATTGTTTAACTGGTTTTAATTAAAATTGTAAAATAAAAATATTTATCCCATCTCTGGGCAATGTGAGTTGTTATTGCCCTTTAAGTAATAGACCTATCAACTTTTATAGCCAATAAAACATCTGAAGCACTGTTGACCCCTGTTTGTGACACTATGGTGACTTGTAAGATCCAAGTTATACTTTTATAAAGACCTTTCATGATTTACTGCCGTTTAAGTGTTTGGACGGTAAGTGCTAATTGATAAGGCCAGCTCAATTTTTGTCAAGGACGCTGAGATGTCTATAAAGTTAGGACACGTGATTGTTGGCGAGATTGTAGGTTAGGGTTAAGGTAAGCATTGGGGTTAGGTCCAGGGTTGCGGTTAGGGTTGGGATTGGTTCTAGCCCTGTTTACATCTCGTGACCTATGACGAAAAATTGAGCTGGCCTTAGCATTTAGCAGTAACCGTGTTTGGACTTAATCGCTCATAAATAGAACTGTCTTATTTGTTGATTTGGAGTGATTTGGCTTAACAATACCTCTGATAAGTCAATTGATCTCCACAAAGATAGTGTTCTATGTTTTGTATGAAACAGTCAATGTGGTCAGATTTGTTTACAATGACCCTGTCCTTGTAATATTATACAATGACCAATGGTGATTTATGGCTATGTATAAATCTTAACTGATATCTGTTCTTCTAAATAAGGGTTCATGGTCAAAGTGCGCCCACGCTAGAATGTATGTACATAAACAAAATACAGGGAATAGTCTCTGCCTAGGAGATAACCATTGCAGTGGTGCAGAACGGAGAGCCTGGCAAGGGACAATGTATAGTCGTTTGGATGGAGTCCCGTGTTCACACTTGCGTGCACGTAAAAGATCCCTTAACAGTTGGGATTCGAAATAATAGTAGGCCGTAGTGACGCTGTCCGGGCATAATTCTCCCCATAGCACACTGACTGGGCACATGTCTGTCTTCATTGGCCCAGTCGGTGCTAAAACGTAGAACGTTAAAACCTCATTGCACCTCCATTACCCGTAACGGTCCTGTGACTGTAGTACATCTACAGGAGAGGGAGAGAGATGGGGTTTAACGTCCACCCGACACAAACTAGGTCATTTCGGGACTAACATATGGTTTAATTTTATTTACATAATTCGCTTGCGCGTAGGGGTCTTTAGCAGTGGGAGGAAACCAGGGGACCCGGAGAAAACCCACGAGGTTGTACAGGCATCCAAAGGATTAAACAATGTGGGCTTAAGTTGCTCCTGGGACCCATCAGGGATTAATGAACCCGAAGACTATGCTTCATTTATTTTGTAATAGATCCGCCCCTGGAAATACCAATACCTTAAAGACGCGTTATAGAAGATTAGATAAAGAGTTGACAGTTTTTACTATAATAGTTAAAAACTAGATAATGTAAAGGGAATATGCTGAAAATGTCAGTCAGATTGCTCCTCTCTGAACCGAGATATTAGCGTTTGAATTTTGGGCCTAGCTTCGATCATCTTTATTATAGTCGGTGCTATAAAAACATAGCCTCAATTATCCATTTCTGAAATAAATCATCAATGTTCGTTGAACAGTAAATCGGAATCAATTCCAATGAACATCCGACACATATGATGACACCGAGAGTTGATTGTGGTCTTTTCATGTTAATAAATGTCTAATTAATAATTCATATAACATTTCAGGCCTAAAGAAAGACCTGCAATAGGCAGATTTAGCTCTTGCATAATGTATGTTTAAATATCTGATATTTTATCTGAGATAAAACCATCAACAAATTTGGTTATATTATAAACTATTTTCCCAAACGTCCTCGATAGTTGTATAACTACTTATATTATTTTATGCCTAACAGAAAAATACATTGTTTTGTAAGGATGGCCATTCTGTTGTTTATTTCAATTCAGTGGACCGAACACGGGACCTACTGCAAGTTAGCGATCCAACGTCTAACTCACCGAACCACCGTGGCTCCCATAGATATGTTTTGTTTATCTAAAAATTATTATTATATTCACGTGTATTTTCTTTTATTCAAAACTATTTCAAATAGTTAATGAAATGAATTTGAATATTGCATCACGTGTCGCTAAGCCATTTGACATTGGCCGTAGTTTTTCTGACAGGAAATTACCACAGGGGACTTAATTCTAGCTGTGTATGTCACCACCCCCGGGGTTTTAATCGGTGGTTTTAATTTATTTAATCTTTTAATCTCGTCTCGTAAATCGGTCATTCATAGATCACAGAGACAAACTTCAGGATGTGATGTTTTGAGGTGTCCAACAGTCAAAGGTCAATTTGAGGTTACAGGTCAAAAGATCAGTGTTTAAAGGTAAAGATTGACAAGGTGTCATGGCACGTGCAGGTTTTTATTAACATAGTAAACATGAGTTTGACTTGTTGACTGTGTAATAAAACACGTGTTATCATAATTACTGTCTAACAAGTAGCTAGGGTGGGATGTGGCCACGGTGGCACTAGTTTTTAAATGGAAGGAGGGAGAGAGAGAGAGATGGGGTTTAACGTCCACTCGACACAAATTAGGTCATTTTGGGACTAACATATGGTTTAATTTTATTTCAATCATTCGCTTGCGCGTAGGCGTCTTTAGCAGTGGGAGAGAAACCGGAGGACCCGGAGAAAACCCACAGACATTTTAAATTGTAACATAGGGTTGGATGACCGAATGGTTAGCGCGTGTGCGTTGTATCATAAGGTCTGTCATTGAGTCAACTGGCGTGTTTTCGGTTCCCCGGTTGTATGTGACAAGGAGTAGGGTTGCCTGTCCAACCTCCGAGTCCCCCGCTTTCCTCCCACTGCTAAAGACCCCTACGCGCAAGTGAATCATTGAAATGAAATTGAACCATATGTTAGTCCGGAAATGACCTGGTTTGTGTCGAGTGGACGTTAAACCCAATTCCCCCCTCTCTCTCTCTCTCTCTCTCTCTCTCTCTCTCTCTCTCTCCCTTCTAGCGCCACAGTTGATTTATGTTTAATTAGGCATCTTCTCTTCTATTTCAGATTTTATGGATGAATTATGTGGGAAAACATTAGATTTAGCTGCTATAGGACTCGAGTCAGCAATGGTGAAATTAACCAAAAACAAGGAATATAGCAGTACAATGAATTGTGTGACAGTTGTAAAAACTAAAGACAATAGACAATTAATGGTGAAATATGTAAAACTGGATATACAAAGCTATGAAGATTGTCCAGGAGACTATATAGCTATGTATAATGGTATTTATCAACTGGAAAGTAAAACCGTTCAAGGTATGTTTTAATTAGAGAAAATGAGCGACGCACTAAAGTGGGTTTTGAATTTCCAGATGCGCATTGGAGAGATTACTTCGTTTCCGCTATACAATATTTGGTATTGTACATCCACGAACCTTAGAATATTATAATGTCCATGGAACATCTAGTAGGATATGCTGATTCGCTATGCATTTTCCTCCAATCTGATTAAACCACAGATCCTATTTCGTTTCGTTTTTTATAGTTCAAAATTTCGTTTTACTAGACTTTACTACACTAGGATCTGGAAGAGTTGTTATCATTGACATGTTCTGGATGATGTGAGAGATTAGCCAATGAAACGGTCTGTTACGGCTGGCTTTTGGCTGTAGTGCACGGAACTGTGGGTAATTCACTAGTAACATTAATGCTGATTGGTTAATCAAATGTCTGATGTCATAGGGTCAAAAGCCGCTCGTATGACCTCTGACGCGACCTCCCAAAACAAATGGTCAGATCTTCATGTAGTGTAGGCCATTGAAAGTATAAACAAACGAAACGAAATATAGATCTGTATTTTAATCAGACGGCATCTTCCTCGCAAGCTTTTTGGTTACCTTCTCTTCGATGAATAATTAAATGAAATAGGTTTTACCATCAACCTTTTCTAAACCATTCGAAGACAGACAAACACTACGGAAGTGTGTTATGAAAGACACCAGCTTTAGCAAAGAGAGGAAAACAGATAACCCGTAGAAAGGTCAAGAGGTTCCGCAGGTGACCCTACTTCCCCCTTGTCTTTCGGATGGGACGAAAATCCGAGGTCTCGTGTATACATTGGCATGCACGTTAAAGATCCCCTGGAAGTTGGAATTCGATATAAGAGTAGACCGTATTGTCCCTCATATCACATTTTATGGCGTACTTCCGTCTTCATTAGCCCAGTCGGAGCAGGACAGTAGGAAATTATTGTGTGAAGCACACACGGGGCACACTGTCTTGTAAATACATCAAAACCTAATAACGCCTATTTTAAAGTTTAAGTAGATTCTTTAACGGACAGTACCATTCAATCTTATAATACCTTATAATATTTTACAGATCCAGTAACAAAGTTTTGTGGTGATGATGCACCAAGAGGTAGTTATACCTCCAACGATAATTATTTCACCTTTAGATTTGTCAGCGATCATGAATTCTTCGGCCAAGGTTTTGAAATCCTTTTAACATCCTTCCACAATGGTAAGTTCTATAGGTTAGGATTTTTCAACATACCGAAATACAAACCCTATCTATCGCGGGTACTATAGTGTTACTTTTTGCTCCGACATTTTATAATCCAGGGGAGATAACCCAAAATTTAATTGGATGCAGACCACCAATTTTTTTTTGGCATTTTTCACTTAGGATTTTCAACATACTGGAATACACAAACCTTATCCGTCGTCGCCTTTTTTGTTGTTGTTGTTGTTTTATACCCGTGAGGGTTATGATCCAGGGGAGACAACCCAAAATTTAATTGGATGCAGATCACCAATTTTTCTTTTGACATTTTCCACTTTGAAGTTTCCGTGTTTCTATTCGTATTCTGGTTGTTTTATGTTTTGTTAAGCAGGTTGGCGACATAATCTACTTTCTATACGATTTCCAATGGTTGTCTCTCGATTAAACATAGATTATGCAAGAGCTAAACTTGCCGATTGCAGATCTTTCTTTAGGCCTGAAATGTTATATAAACTATTAATTAGACATTTATTTACAAAACAAGACCATAATCAACTCTTAATGGCATCGGATACTCGAGATTTTAACTAGATTAGAACAGTTCCCTATTTAAAAATGGGAAAGCAAAGCTAAGTCTCGAATATACCAGTGCCCTGGTTACCACAATACACACATCTTGTCAAAACTACAACCAGTGATAACTTGACTCAGAATGAAGTAAAGTAATTTGAATGAAATTTTCAATATTTTCATTTTACATTATCTACTACTACTAACCGGTGCTTTAATGTCTGCTTCCACAGAAGTGATATCGCAGACTTTACATTTACTATTTGTTTGAGCTATTATAGTATGAATAGTCAGCTCTTTATCTAAATCTTACATAATGTATCTTTAAGAACTCTCTCTGTAATTGTATTATGTTATATCTATATTTGTAGGTACGTGTAGAAAAGATGAATATAGTATTAACACGCTATATAAATGGCGATATTATTATTATTAATTATGTTATTTATATCTGTATTTGTAGGTACGTGTGGAGAAGGTGAATATAGTTGTAATAATAAACGATGTATATCAGATACACTTGTATGTAATGGTTATGATAATTGTGGTGATTATTCAGATTGGTGTGGATTATCTGCCCCTGTAATAGGTGGAATTGTTATCGCTTGTTTTGTAGCTTTATTGACTCTGTGGGTGTGCATGGTGTTTTTATGGTACGCCTTTTCATGGCGAAGACAACAACGAAATAGACAATCGGTGAGTAAAATTTAAGATACAAAAAAGGACTACAACAATAATCTGTGAAAACCTTAAATGAGAACATGTAGGAACAGGAGGCATACGCTGCCTCGTGTACCATAATATATCACGGTGGGTAAGACGCTGGCTCGCTATAGCCTGGAGGTCCAGCGTCGGATTAACCATGGTGGGGGCCCTGGGGCCTGGATCATGTGGGGGGCCCCTGATCACCGACTGTGGAGCCGTGGCCGGTGAAGCCGGCCACCGCGAGCGCCGAAGGCGCGAAGCCCCGCAAGGGGGATCAGGGACCCCCCAACCCCCGAAAATTTTCAGAAATTGGAGGCCGGAAACGTGATTTCCTGGCATTTCAGGCACTTGTGTGGAGCCATTTAGAAGTACCTCCCCCAGAAAAAAATAAAATTCTGCCACAAAATTAGCTCATTCTGGCGTTATTTCAGTGGACCAATCCATGCGAGTGCTATGAAATGATGGCATTTCTAGAGGAGGGGGTTGGACGCAACTGAGATTTTTGTGGGGGGCCCTCTCATGTGGGGAGCCCTGGGGCTGTGCCCCATGGTGCCCCATGGTTAATCCGGCCCTGTGGAGGTCGGGTGTTCGATCCCTGCATTGGCTGAGAAAGTTCATCCCGATTTTCCGGCGTGGTTCCCCTTGTCAGTGATGCAGGACGAAAGTTCTGACAAGGACAGTTGTCTAGTCGTTCGGATGGGACGAAAAACGGAGGTCCCGTGTACACATCGGCGTGCACGTAAAAGATCCCTTGACAGCAGTTGGAATTCGATATAAGAGTAGGCCGTAGTGCCGCTGTCCGGGCAAAATTTCCCTCATTGGACACTGTATGGCGTATGCCCGTCTTCATTAGCCCCGTTCGGAGCAGAACAATAGGGGAGAGAGAGAGGGAGAAATAGGGTTTAACGTCCACTCGACACAAACTAGGTCATTTTGGGACTAACATATGGTTTACTTTTATTTCAATAATTCGCTTGCGCGGTAGGGGCTTTTAGCAGTGGGAGGAAACCGGAGGACCCGGAGAAAACCCACGAGACTGGACAGGCGACCCTACTCCTTGTCACGTACAACCGGGAAATCGAAACCACACCAGTTGACTCAATGACAGGCCTTGTGATACAACGCGCACGCGCTAACCATTCGGCCAAATCTTCGTCGACCTAACACCGCATGACTCAATTTGTTTATTTCACTTTTTCAGAGAAGATCCTCTCGACCACCCGTATCATCTATGGCTGTACCAGAACAACGTTACACACATCTTCCCGCCATTCCGCCATCTACAAACACTAGTTCCAATAGAAGGGATGTATTTACCATATTCCCACAACTCCGTATATCCATCACCCCAATACAACCACCCCCATATCCCGGTGAACCGGATATGAGAGATTATCTTCACCAAGGTCTTACGTGATAAGTGCTAATGACGTCAGTATTGTTAAGTTTGCTATACAGGAACCGGAAACTGTTACTAAGAATATTAGTGAGCGATGCGGGGGGTGATGCAAAGTCGCCATGACTTTATCAGTGGGTGTTCAGAGAATGTCAAATAAGATAGTTTGAAGAAATGTGTCTCCGTATTTGGAACAGCTATTTAGAAATTCAACGGGTCAACTATCGTTCTTGTCATCTTTCGGAACAAACTTAGTAGCATCGAACTTGAAGTGAAATAAAATCAAGTACCCTAAACACAAAAAGGGCTCAACCACTGGAACGTGATACGGTAAAGTTTTCCATACTTGTGTATATATAAGGATCATGTCTGTAATATCGGATATAATGAACTCAAATATGAGCTAAAGTGCTGAAAATGACCGAAAATAACCAAGAACGAGACGAAGAATGACCGAAAATAACCGAAAATGACCGAGAGTGAGCGTGCGGAGAGAAATGTTATTCAAAATAGCGAATTATACAATTTGGTTAAAAAACAAGTCCATATTTCGTTTCGTTTTTTATACTTTTAATAACCTCTACACTATTGTAGTGCAGACAAGTAAACCACAATTTTGAACTATAAAAAAAAACGAAACGAAAATTGGATCGTTGTTTTCATCAGATAGACAGTTACAATAAGTCCAGACATAGTCTGATTAAAATACAGATCCCTATTTCGTTTCGTTTTTTTTATACATTTGATGGCCTCAACAGTTTACACTATATATAATACACAAGTAATACTCAATTTTGAACTATAAAAAAAACGAAACGAAATTAGATCTGTGTTTCGTCAGATTGCCAGTTACAACAAGTCCAGACACTAATGAATAGAAAGCCACATTATTCAATATTTATTCAATTAAACCACCCGATTAGATTTTATTACATACTTCGAGAAGGTATTTGTTGAGTAATAAAACCTTCTAGTAGTTTATCGAGGTTCGGGTGCTTCCGGAGTCCAAATGGCCGCTTTATATAAATGAGAATTTTGGGGATAACTAACCCGAACCCTAACCCTAACCCTTTTTAAAAGACTGAACTTGGGTCTAATTTAGTTTTTACTTCTCTTAAAAGGGTTATAGGGTTAGGGTTCCGGTTAGTATTCCCCTAAATACTCATTTGTGTAAAGCGGCCATTTTGGTCTGAGTTCTGGCTTGTTCTGGAATTTGTTGCTTCTAGTGGTGATAATATTTGTACCGTGCGGTAAAGACGGCCAGCCCTCGATAAACTACTAGAAGGTTTTATTACTCAACAAATACCTTCTCGAAGTATGTAATAAAATCTAATCGGGTGATTAAACATACATAATGCAAGAGCTAAATCTGTCTGTTGCAGGTCTTTCTTTAGGCCTGAAATGTTATCTAAATTATTAATTAGACATTAATTAACTTATCCAGGCCATAATCAACTCTCGATGTCATCGCTAGCCTGTGATATTTACTGGATTAGGATCCGATTTACTGCTCAAATTTCATTCATGATTAAATCATGAAATGGATAACCGAGACTATGTTTTTATCGTACCGACTTTAGTAATGATGATCGAGGCTAGAACGAAATTCAATCACTAATATCGGTTCATAGTGGATCAATTTGACTGAAATTTTCAGCAAATTCCCTTTACGTTATCTAGTTTTTAACTATTATAGTGAGAACTCTTTATCTAATATCCCATAATGTATCTTTAAATGCCGAATAATGAGTATTTCAATGCTCAGAGTGAAGTAATTTGACAGACATTTTCAGCATATTCCCTTTACATTATCTAGTTTTTAACTATTATAGTGAGAACTGTCAGGTCTTTGTATCTTTAAATCATTGTGTGTATATATATATAGTATATTTCTAGTCATAATATATTTATATATAATAAATGAGTGAATGCACGTGCCATTAAAATATAATCAGTAAATTATTCATATCTTTATATATTCAAATATCTACGTAATATGATTCACATAGTTTGGATTGCTGTGAAGGGTATTAATCGGTTAGATTTGGTATTCGGTGTCGTGGGGTCTGGGTGGTGTTCATGAAAGCCAGGTATAAGATAATTCAATTCACGAAAGTACATGCCAAAATCCCCAATAAGTGGTGAATGGAGTTCACGTACTTTTTCTAGCAATTTGAAATGGAGTTTCTTCGACACATGTTGTACTCTATTCTCCCACTGCTGAGTGTGTCGAGTGGACGTTAAACCCCATCTCTCTCTCTCTCTCTCTCTCTCTCCCTCCCTCTCTTTACAATAAGTAGTGCAGGGTGTTCATGCATTTTATTCTCACAGTTTATGCCGTACTCTA